AAAAAAAAAAAAAGGGAAGGGAAGTAAAAATAATATAAAAATAGGGAGGGGGACAAAACATAAGAGACTCTTAAATATGGAGAACAAACAGAGGGTTGCTGGAAGGGTTGTAGGAGGGGGGATGGGCTAAATGGGTAAGGGGCATTAAGGAATCTACTCCTAAAATCATTGTTGCACTATATGCTAACTAACTTGGATGTAAATTAAAAAGATAAATAAAAAAAAAAATTAGAGAGCTGGTTAGTAGAGAGCAGTGATCATGTAAAGTGGTATAGGTAAAAGAATATGGTCTAAGCAGTTTTCCAGTGGTTTATACATGCATTGAAATAAAGCAGCTTGGATATCTCTTCTCGGCCTTTTGGCTAAGATCAAGTGAAATAAAGCAGCTTGGATAAACAACATGAACTCAACTAATGTCAAATTCTGTTTTTAAAAGAACGTTAGATTCTAGAACTGTAGTGTCCAAAACATAACCATGCTGACTATTTAAATTAATTAAAATAAAGTTAAAAATTCAATTTTTTGGTTGAAGTAGTCATGTATAAAGTGCTCATAGCAACATAAGGCTGGTGGCTACTGCATTAACACAGGAAGAATATTTCTATTACTAAAGAAAATTCTTCTCAGATGTTGCTATTCTAGAACATCTTTATAAGGTACATTTTCATTCAGATTCATTTAAACTATCTGCATTGTAAATAAAGTTGAAAGCCCTGCTTTGCAAATGGTGATAACTGAGAAATTCACTTACCTTTCTTTCCCATATCTGAATCTTTCCCCTCCATAATTCCTTTGAGTCAATAGCATTTTTGAGATCTTCTAAAGATATGACATTAGCAGAAAGGTATTCTGCAATTTTCTGATAATTTCTATAAATAAAGGATTATGATAGTTAAATACACGGTTTCATATCCTACTTAGATTTAATGGTTATGGTTAACTACAATCCTAACAGGCAAAAATGCAAAGTTTCTACCGCTGCTTTTATGTACTAATATTGTAGAATGTTCCTTAAGTCACTCTCTGAGGGAGTCTCTATCACATGTCCATTTAATATTGGCTTAAGTGTGTCAGATAGATACATACATGTATATACACATACACAGATTTAATATTAGTCCTTTATGTTCAAAGGGAGAATTGCTCTCCTAATTTTCCCCATACATCTTGTATGGAATCCATAATAGTACTTATCACAGACTATCATAACTATCAGCATTCCTATTTGTCCCTGTATTTCAATGAACAAGATCAAATGGCACCTTCTTAACTCAACAGCATCTATTGCTGTGCTTGGCATAAAGTCAGTACTCAATACACACTTGTTAAATGAAGAATATCACAAAGTTAATAAATCCAATGGAATACTTAAGGATCAAAACAGTAATATACAATTGATCCTTACTAAAATATAAATCACAACAATATATATCTATTTCTACATTGCACATAAAACAAAAAAGAAATACATCACAAATCCAGTGTATCCATGGTAAAACAGCATTGATGACACTTACTAAACACTTAAATATCTCAGAAATATTAAATATGAAATAAGAAAAATCCAGATTTTCTCAATAAACCTGTAATAACAGTATGGCATAAAACTATCTTATCACATTAAAAAAGTCATCGGGATGCCTGAGTGGCTCAGTTGGTTGGTTGTCCAACTTCGGCTCAGATCATGATCTCACAGTTCGTGAGTTTGAGACCCGCATTGGGCTCTGTGCTGACACCTTGGAGTCTGGAGCCTGCTTCAGATTCTGTATCTCCCTCTCTCTCTGCCCCTCCCCCACTCATGCTGGCTTGCTCTCTCTCTCTCTCTCTCTCTCTCTCTCTCAAAAATAAACATTAAACAAAATCTTCAAGTGATAAGTTATTAAAATTAGGATGGCATGTTAATTGTGAAAACAGATTACCAGAGAGCAACCAAATATGAACAAAGAAGCTTACATTACACAATTATTTCCTGCTATAGTTATTTTTGCTGAATACCATTCCTTTAAATGTTTTAATGCTCCTATAGTAGGTAAACAGTCTTTCAACTTGGGAGGATCTTTGTCAGAAGGCAACAGTATTACATCTATCATTGCTCTACCTAGAAAAAGAATAAGGCATTTTCATAATTAAAAAAATACACATTTAGAAGTTCAAAATTTCTAAATGTTCATCATTTGATTTAAAGCCATGTTATCTTGAAATAGGTAACATAACAGAAAACAATGAACTCTATCATAATTACTTGCCAGTTATGTACCAATGCTTAATTATACACATTGCTCTTGAGATCATCAATGCTATTGTTGTACTGAACAGAGAAACAGAGAAAAAAAAATCTGTGCAATTTCAGTATATTTTTCTATACTTAATTTATACAAAAAGGAATGAATTAATATAAAATTGTAATGGTCAAATAAATTATTTCTTTTTATAGGACAATAAAACACTCAAAAAACTCAATTATATTGACAATATCATTGTTTCCTAAGAAAAAAGTATAACTTCATGAAACTTCACATTTTATAAATTTATAAATTTACCAAAAAACCTAGAAAATGTTAACAAAACCGAACCAAACAGAAATTCGATAATGAAAGCTTTCTATTTTGCTAAAACAGCAATTGCATATTTCAATGCATATTCTGAATTTGACACATTTCATTTAAAAAATTGGTATGTTTATTTATCTATGTATTCAGTTATTTCCCACATAGAATCTTTTATACTAAGATAGGATTTTGAATATAAGGATCAAACTGTGAGCTTTCAAGTCCCTCATGGTAATCACATTTGCTTTACTCATCATTACATACTCAGCTCCTAGTATAATACATGATCTATGATAGATGCAACAAATGTGTGCTTAATAAATGACTTTCAATAATGAAAAATATTCAAGAAAAGCTCTTCAAAAGTATTTATAGATGCCAAATTGTACCAGGTTTTAGATGCCAGCTACTTGATTGACACAAGGAAAGATAAATTTCAGAGAGGCCACAGCTTTAAGAATAGCATGATACAGTATTTCATAAAATATACTTGTCATTATTGTAAAAAAAAAAGGGGTGGGGGGCTCTGTAAACAAATGCTGAGTGAAGGGCTTCTTTTACCGTAGAATTTTCTATTTGATAAAGTATACAGTGACCCCACACCTTAAAAGATGTTGCCAAAATGATCTAGGTTAAAGAACTTGTTTTTCCAGGAATTGTTATAGGACTCATGTTCTACAGAATGTACTATGTAAAACAATGGCATATAGTGGAAAGATTCTTCAGTAATAACTAAATAAGGAAATGGAGACTGGTATTTAATTTTCTAAGTTCTAATTTTTTTCTAACTAAATAAAAACAAGAGAACTGTAGTATCTCAGTAATATACTTTATTAAAGCAGTGAAGTATGTTTGATATCAACTTCAATTAAGAAATTATTTTTCATTTTGAGTTTCAAAATTAGAAGTGAGAACATAAGCATAAAGGCTGAATTCATCACTCATTCATAGGAAGTATAAGATAAGACATATTCCCAAAAGTAGTCATAAAATATTACCAGGAGCAGGAAGTTTGTCAGACAATTGATGCAAATTTTCTGCAGATTCTTCATACAGGCTAAAACAAAAGGGTAAGTTAGAAAAGACACACATACACATACACATTACATATAAGCATAACAGGTAATATTAACTAAATGAATCTATGTGCCAGATACTATGAAGTATGTTAGATACATTATCTTGATCTTCAGGACAACCCACGAGGCACTACTATAATATTATCATCCTTACTTTAAATAATTTGCCTACAGTCACATAACCAGCAGGTGTAGAAAGTAGGATTCAGAGTCCAAGTTAGTAGCCACATCCCCAAAAAACAAACAATAAAAAGGGAAAAAAACTCCCTAAATTATATCTAGTACATTAAATATAAATCATAACTAATAGACCAAACATTTTTCTGAACCTTAAAAGTACAGTATTGCTAAGTGTTTAAAAAAGAAGGATACTGCTTTTCTCTGAATGGCATACAACAGCCCTGACTGGAAAGTAGGATGATGTCCTCCAATTCTGCAAAATCTTTTCATTTTATCCAAATGATGAATTTTTCTTTTTCAAAAATCTATTGTATAACATAAAATTACTTAAACCCTTTATTAGAAACCTGCCATTATCTAGAAAACTTAAGGCATCTTATGATAAAGCATAGTTTTCAAGCTCCCTCTTGTGGAAATAACTATTAGGTCACTTACTAGAAATAATTACTTCTACGCTCCTTATCTTTTAATAATGGTGGGAAAATACGGATGCTAAGAACTCTAAGGCTAGAAGGCACCTTAGAAATCACCTAAAAGGATCTCAACACTGTATAGACAAGATAATAAAGGACCAGAGAAATGAAATGACTGGTCCACAATCAAGTAACTAGAAACTGCCTCTACTGAGCCCTGGGTTTATACCCTTTCCTTGGTTCTACAATGTATCCTTTCATTAATCAGTACAAACAAATATAAATAAAAAACAGGAAAACGGAATTTTTAAAGTCTGCAGTAATTTATAGAAGTATTATATGATTACTACAGTAAACAAAAGTAGTTTTTGTAATGAAATATTATGGAAGACTAAAATGAAAGGTATTAATTATGAGTCGAAGATGGGATATTTCATGAAGAGAAAAATAATCACAACTTATATCACCTGGACCAACTTATATATTATACCACAATTCAAAAAACCTAAAAGTGAAGCCAATCATCTATATAATTCGCAGAAACTCTATGCTCAAGATATACATAAATTGAATAAATCATATATATCAACCTCAAATAGCAAAATGATAATCATAATTTGAGTTTGAATGCCAGTTATTAACCTCAAATTCAAGTTTCTTTTTTTAAAAGTGTATTTACTTTGAGGAGAGAGAGAGAGAGAGAGAACCAAGATCATGCTAACACCTACAAATGAGTTGTTTTCCCTCTCTTTTCATCTCTGAAAGAATTTATCTAAAATGGATGCTATTCCTTAAATATTTGGGAGAATAATTTGGTGAAGTCTAGCCTAGAGTTTGATAGTGGGAAAATTTTTTAACAATTCAATTACTTTATTATTTTTTTTAATGTTTATTTATTATTTTATTTTGAAAGCGAGCGAGCAAGCCTGAGTGGCGGAAGGGCAGAGAGGGACAGGGAGGGAGAGAAAGAATCCCAAGCAGGCTCTGTGCTATCAGGGCTCAAACTCAGGAACTGTGTGATCATGACCTGAGCCCAAACCAACAGCTGGACGTTTAACCAACTGAGCCACCCAGGCGCTCCATTACATTCAAGTTTCTCTTCAAGCTCTTAAAATTCATAATCAGACAGAATTCATCTTCAAGAAAGTGACATATTGGGGCGCCTGGGTGGCTCAGTTGGTTGAGTGTCTGACTTCAGCTCAGGTCACGATCTCACGGTCCGTGAGTTTGAACCCCGCATCGGGCTCTGGGCTGATGGCTCAGAGCCTGGAGCCTGCTTCCGATTCTGTGTCTCCCTCTCTCTCTGCCCCTCCCCCGTTCATGCTCTGTCTCTCTCTGTCCCAAAAATAAATAAATGTTGAAAAAAAAAAATTTTTAAAAAAGAAGCTAGATATTTTCAGATACCAATTTTTCCATTTTACAGTTTTATTCAAATAAAAGGCCCAAATTGCCCATCTCCCAAAATAGAGTTGAAAATTTCAATAACTAAAATTTCCTTCCTATGGCTGCTAAAAAAATATCATTTCCACTCTTGTGGCTGAAATACTGTGTACTGTTAAAATATTTTAAAGATATTACAGAAAGCATATAAGCATACTCAGCCAAGGATAATGATTCTCTGCTATTACTATCTTCTTCCTCAAAACACTCAGCGCTCAAACATTCTTCAATATTTGTTTGAAGAACATCTTCAATTTCATCTTTTTCTGTACCAAAATGTATCTCTTCCCAGTGAGAACTGCAAAACTAATATATCAAAAGATTGCATTAAATAATGGGTTTCTGAAATTACTTACATTGGCAAAGACATTCACTAATGCCTATTTTTTTCATTTCTATTACCTGATAAAATCCACATATTGCCTGCACTGCAAAGAACCACTTCTTGGGAGCAGGTATGCCGCCTACCGAACATGCTTGAAAACAAAATCGTGCTTATTAGAAGAAAGGCGTATCACAAATAAGCAGATGCTATAGTATCTATACTTAGAGAATTATATAATTTTTATTACAGTATATAGTTCTTCACGATATATGTGTGTATATGCATATACATATATATTACATGGATCTTTTTAAAATCTCTAAAAATTTAAATAGAACAATCTGCCCAAAGAGCAAAATTATTCACTCACAATGAATACTTTTATTTTGTCACAACTCAAAATCCATACTATTTTAATCATCATTTCAAACACTAAAACCTACCAAGAAAAAAAAAACCCAACACCCACTTAATTACTACTGAGTCATGCAAAACTGCGTAAGTGATAGTAAGAGATCTAGTTCCCGCTTCAAAGACAACAAAGGTCTGGTTCAGCCTGGCCAGAAAGAGAGAGAGGAGATAAAACAATAGCCTCATGACATTTTCTACTCCCCTCTAAAGCCATTTCAAAATGTTGTTGTGTATCCAACATGCAATTGTAACTGATGGGGGAGTGTGGGGCAAGTTGAGGGCAAAATACAGGTGGGTACCCTCCCTCCCTCGGCCCAGTGGAATATTGTTTGGACACTCCTGGCTACCCAAGAACAAAGGAAAGGGGTTTAAGTACTTGCTATGGTAATGTGGGAAACTAAGGCAAATGAAAAATTAAATCCCCTTACTGCCTATAGCCCAAAGACAAGTCCTTGAAACCAGCAGAGTGACCTCCCTCTAGGAGCTCAGCTGCCTGGAGGATGACACTTTGCTAGGGGCAAAAGAGAATCTTAGCTTAACATTATCCCAATTTCGAGGATCCTGTAAATCTACTTCCATTATCTCAACTGCCCCAAGATATATGCTAGCAATCATACTCTAAGCTTATGGCCCTGATATACAACTGAAGGGTCTCCTGACTGAGGTTTTATTAAACGGTAATAAATGATGTTTCCCTAGCAACAGGTAGCCCCTGAAGGTCCTGAAAACCTTGCTTCCAAAATTCCTTGGAGAGTTACTCTATCCCTGACCCCCTCCCAACCTGAGGGTATATAATGAGTTTACCTGTCATGACCCCATGCAGCTCTCCCTACCCCTGGGTCCTGTCTCCATGCTTTAATAAAATCACCTTTCCGCACCAAAGAGGTCTTCAAGAATTCTTTCTTGGCCTTCGGCTCCAGACCACCCCAGCATCACCCCAAAACTTCATCATAACTACATTCATTAAAGGCACCAATAACTAATGTTATAAAATCTGATAGCTCTTACCACTGTTGTTACTTGACCTCTCAACATAAGAATAAGAAAGGAATGAAAGATGACACAGTTGACTACTTTCTCCTTAAAACACTTGATTTCTGTGGAACCTATCTTTCCAGCTACTCCTCATGCCTTTAAAAACTGGTGTTCAGGGGTGCCTGGGTGGGTCAGTCAGTTAAGCGTCCGACTTCGGCTCAGGTCATGATCTCGCGGTCCATGAGTTCGAGCCCCGCGTCGGGCTCTGTGATGACAGCTCAGAGCCTGGAGCCTGTTTCAGATTCTGTGTCTCCCTCTCTCTGACCCTCCCCCGTTCATGCTTGGTCTCTCTCTGTCTCAAAAATAAATAAACGTTAAAAAAAACAAACAAAAAAAAAAAACTGGTGTTCAGTTCCTTTAAATATTGGGATTCAGTTCAAGATTTTCTGCTCTTCTCACTATCCATAAACAATCCCATCCTTTCTCATAGTTTGGACTGACATCTACATATTGATGATTCTATTATCTGTATCTCCAGCCTTACTTTGCCTTTTGAGTTCTGGACACACGTATCCAACTTTTGCAAAACATTTTCAATTTGACATCTTACAGGGCAACTAAATACGTGTTCCAAATTGAACATGTCATTTGATGAGGTCTTGGGGTGATACTGGGGTTCAGAGCTGACAGCCAAGAAAGAATTCTTGAAGATGTCCTTTGGTGCAAAAAGGTGATTTTATTAAAGCAAGGACACAGGACCTGTGGGCAGAAAAAGCAGCACTGGGGTTGTGAACAGTGACTACCAATATACCAAGGAGTTGGGGGAGATAAAGTCAAGAGGGAGTTTCTTGAAGAGATTTCCATATGCTAAAGAGGACTCACAGATTACTGGAGGCCTAGCTATTATCAAGCTAAGGTTGTTTTTCCCTCTAGCAAAGCATTAGCATTAAGATGGTAGGGAGTTCCTGGAGATTAGGCTATTAATAAGATTGTTTTTTCTTGTAATATTACTAAGATATTTGTAAACTAATGGGCTCTATCAGTTTAACCATTTGTTTTCTGTCCTTTCCTTTGTTCTTGGGCAGCCAGGAGTGCCTGAGAAATATTACACATATTCCACCGGGGCGGGGGGATTGTGCTAGCTTGTGCTGGGCTCTCACTCAGCTTGTCTTATGGCCCCTCATCTACCATGCCTCAAACTCTAATTCTCCTATCTTGCTAAATGCCACCACTTATACTATACCCAAGCCAGAAATCTAATGTCATTCTTGATTGCTTTCTCACACTACCCTTCTCCTGAATCACACCAATGCAACACTAGGTCAGGTGGATTCTACCTCCATAATTTCTTTCAGATCCATTTTCCTCTACCTCGGCTACCTCTCTTACTTCTTAGCTGGTCTTCTGCAGCAGCCCCTTCATGCCTATACTTTCCTCCAATTTGTCCACTATACTGTAGCCAGAATACTTCAACAACACAGATGTCACCAGATCTCTTCCTTCACTAAGGCCTTCAATGGCTAATTATCATTATAAAGAAGTCCAAGAGCCCTGACATGGTTTACAAAGTCCTCCACATTGCTATGCCTATCTCTCCAGCCTTATCTCAATTATAATCATATTATACTTCCAGTTTCTCAGACTTGCCATATTACTGAAAGCAATAATGTTCACAGGGTAAGAAATTCAATCTCTTTGCATGGTTCTGATATGCAGATTTCAGTTCCCATGATTTAAATAACACCTGGTCCCCCAAAACAGGGCTCAAACTGCAGCTATCATGGTTTATTAATCAACTGTAATTGCCTAAAGCAAAACTTCACTGCTAGCTTCTCATATCACAAGTCACTACATAAATCAAAGATGTGTATCATGATCAGTGACCAATCACATTACTACTTTTCAAAGTTTGTTGCTGATTGGTCACTGCATAGCTGTTATTCAGTTCATATGAACAGATGACAAATATGTAATTGTGTTTCCTTCTTGTCTCCCAGTGATAAATTTACATATTTTACAAAAATGGGTAACAGGAAGAGGAAATTGGCAAAGGAAAAAAAAAAAGATAAAGGCACAGCAAAGAAGCAAAAAGTGATTAACACCAAAAGTGACATTCAAATCTAATGTAAGTGGATTCTAAAAATAGCTGCTGTGAAAGAGAGAACCCAATGTGGGGTTTGAACTCAGGAACCAAGAGATCATGACCTGAGCTGAAGTCGGATGCTCAACAGATTGAGGCACCCAGACGCCCCTTGGACAAGAAACTTCTATCTACCCAAACAGGAAGCAAAAGTTATCCCAAGAATTCCTATAATGCTCCCAATATTTCTTCAATGTATACTTTCGAGGCATAAGTGAAAGAAAAGCTTTCTTGCAATACCAGTAGTATTGACTTAAATTATACCAACTTGAAAAAGTAATGAGTACTACCACAACTTGGCAAACAGACTAGGGCAGCATGAACATTTATAACCAAAACAGACTAGGGCAGCATGAATGAGCACCCTACCCAGAGCATCTCCAGAAACTTCCTTCAGCTTTTAATTTGGTCTGTTTTGGTTATCTCCTTTTTCTGAGCCTTTGAAAGACACTCTCAGAGGCCAAGAAGAGGAAGTAAAAGAGAAGATAACTATAAAAAAAAAAAAAAAAGTAGATGGATTTGTATAATGCCAATAGAAACCAAAGGAGAAGAGATTTTTACAAAGCAAAGGCTGGTCAAATAAGCCAAATACTTTGAAAAAGGTAAAACAGACAAGAACGGAGACAAGATTACTGTGTTTAACAATTATGAAGTGCTTTTAAGAAAATCAATAAGAGATAAGGGTGGAAAAAAATGGTAAGAAATGTGTAAGAGCATTAATAATGTATTTGTACTCAGGCCAAATCATAAATCCTCCTTATAATACCACATTACCCTATTATATATGGAGCTAAAGATGGGCAAGGAAATACCACAAAGGGAACAAAAGTCAAGCTGAGAACCTAGAATAATTTTCATAATAATTTTCACACAATTTAATGACATTCAAGCAGCAGGAAGAGGGAATTAGCATCTTTCTCAGTTTTGTATTTCCTTACTTATCTCCCTATCCCAGTGATGTGTGCAGTCAACAAGTATCTTTCATACTTTTAAGTGACCAAATTAATTAAATTTATTTCCAATACAAATACAGGGCCAGAGAAAAAAGGGGTTCGTGTTATACTTACCAGGAAAAGTACTATCTTCTGGATTCATTGAAGCACTAATGCTCCTTTTCAGGAGGTGATAAACATTTGCTGCTGTTAAATCTGAAAAAGAAAAGGCAAACTAACTCAATGGGCACAAGAGTTACATAATCTAGACCTATTCCAATTTCACCATCAGAGACTCTTCACAAAAACATGTTGTACATAAAAGAGCTACACAGAGAAAACCCAAAAGGCTCCTCTGGTTTATACACGCTAGCCAGTTAAATATTCAAAATTCCCCCCAAAGGATAATTTTAAGCAGAGAAGGGAAACTCTGTCACAATACTCTATACACAACCACATATATTTTCTCCTCAAGATGCCTGCTCAATCAAAACAAACAAATAAATAAAATGCAGTGCGGATTATAGACAGAAACACCAAAAAGGAGTGTAATTTCAAACGGTCACGATTGTTTTAAATTTACTATTTTTTTAAATCTTAGTTTTTATATGTAGGATATCTCCTCCCATTAAGATGTAGACTCTAGGAGAGTAAGATCCTTGTCCATCTTGTTCCTTTCTGTATTACTTGTATTTGGAACATAGAGTTGACGGAATCGCCTATTGAATGCATATATTTCTAACAAGAAGACATTCCATTCCGAAGGCACAGAGAATAAATCAGTTAAATTTTTACTGTGCCAAGAACTTCTGAGCACTGGAATTGTGCATCCACAAATTTGTCCCTATTTCTCCACGAAGATAATGACATTTTTCAGCCCTTATTGGGACGATCCCATAGAGTCTCAGATTCTCGGGACAACTCGAGATAGCCCCCCTCCCTCACCGGCAGAACTTGATCTCAAACTTAAATTTCTTCCCCTCCCCGCCCGGTTCCCGCTCTTTCTCAGCCCTGCGCTTACCCGGCTGTTTCTCGGTACCCTCAACGGACGACTTCCCAGGCCCGTGATCCACTTCCCCACCCGCTGCTGACGGGACTTTTGCTTCCCCCCAGATCACAAGGAGCAGGTACCGATCCATCTCCTTCGAGCCGAGCTCCTATTTCAGCTCTTGGTTTCCACATCCAAATAGTCGCGCGCTGCTTAGGCACTTCCGGTTTCCGTCCACCAAATTTAGGTCGGCTGGAAATTGTGCGCGCTGGGTCGGTTTGCCTCAGCTTTTCCAGCCGGCGGGTTCTTTGGGGGAGTTATTCTGTCAATGACTGCATTATTTCCTCCTGTCAGGATGAAAGTGCTACCATGGGAAGATTGGAGGAGACCCAGAAAAGGCAGAGAAACTGACGACGGCTGGCTGGCCTAGGAACTGTCATGCTTGCCTATATATGTTTCCCGCCGGGCCATTAATGCTGGGGTCTGGCCGTGGACCCTGGGAATAGGACGGTCCTGCAAGTGGAGAAAATGTCGAGTTTCTCTAGGGCGCCCCAGGTGAGCTTCAACTCTTGTGGCTTGATGGAGTTCATTATGCTGGCAGAAGGAAGTAGTGGCTTCGGTGGATTTAGTGATGCTGAGTGGGCAGGAAAGAGGAGTTTCTGGGCCAGGAGATGATGCCTCGGGAAAGCACTTTTGAGAATCGTGATTCTGGCCGCCGCTTGCTGTTGTTCTCTTTGGTATTCGTCTCCTCTTTTCAGTTAGCCCTTTTCATGACTTTTTTTCTAAGGAAAGAGTATTCAGATAGGGCACTGTAGACCATTGTAAGGATTTGCTTATTACTGAATAAAATGAGGATCTAGTTAGTGAAGGGTTTGGAGCCAGGAAGTGACAGTGATCTCACTTAAAAGTGTTAGAAGGAGCTCTCTGGCACCTGAGTTAAGAATAGACTGTTCAGAGGTGGGGATTGGTGGAAGGTAGAAACAAAGAGTCGGTTTAGAGGCCAACTGCAGTGATCCAGGCTAAACACGATGGTGGCACAAACCGAACTAGACAGTATAGGGTTGAAAAGTGGTCAGGTTTTGTTTGAAGGTGGAGTCAAAAGGATTTCCTGAAGGATTGAATGTGAGCTGACAACGAAAGAACAAGGATTACTCTAAGGTTTTTTGTTTCTGAAACCGGAAGCGTGTGCCATCAGCTGAGATAGGGAAGACTGAAATTGAAGCAGGTTTCAGGTAGAAGAGCTGGAGTTCAGCTTTGGGTCTGTTGACCTGAGATGCTTCTTAGCCCAGTCCTGCTCCAGGAGTGATTCCTTCCTTGAACTGTTTGTTACCTCTCCTGGATGAAGCAAATTTAAGAAGTAAAATTAAAAATTTGAAAACTTTACAGCAGTTTGATGATATGGCGGTATTTTAATGGTTTTTGAACAAGGTTTTTTTTTTTTTTTTTTAATCAAAATATTGATCTGCAATGGAATGGGGACTAGCCTTTAGGAGATGGTTTAAAAAGCACTGTAGTGCAGCTACCAAATGGGCAATTGGTACAATTGTAGAGTTCAGGAAAGAGGTCAAGGCTAGAGATGTAAATTTCTACACTTGGGAGTCATAAGCATGGAAATGACATGTAAACATACGAGTCTGGATGTAGTCATTGAGAAGGTGTGTATAGAAAAGAGAGAAGGACCAAGAACTGAATTCTGGAACATTTCAACATTTCAGTGGCAAGAGATAGGAAAACAAGCAAAGTAGGGAAAAAAACCAACAGAGGGTGGTGTCCTGGAAATCAAGTGAGGAAAGAATATCCAGGAGAAGGAAATGATCACCGGTATTGAAGACTTAGAATTGACCAAAGGATTCAGTGACATGAAGGTCCTGGTAACTTTGACAGGCAATAGAGAGAGGGTGATGGGTGTGGGAGAAGAAAAGCCAGGGTGGAGCAGGCTGAAGTCAGCATGAGGACAAATTGGAGTAAAGACAACTCTTTGGGAGAATTTTGCCACAAAGGAGGCAGTGGGTAAGTGAGGTAGAGAGGGTTTGTTTTTTGTTTTGTTTTGTTTAACTTTATTATGGAGAATTTCAATCCTATATAAATGAAGGTACAGCCCAGTTTCAAAAACCTCATAGCCAATATTTTTTCATCTGTACCCCCCATTCACTTCTTCCCCTTATGAATCTGAGATGAATCTCAGATTCCTGTTATTTCATAAATAAATATTTCAGTATGTTCTCTATAAGGATTCTTTTTGGAAATATAATCCCAATACCATTTATCAAAGACAAAAAGTAATCATGATTCCTTAATATCAGATATCTAGTATATGTTCAAATCCCCAATTTTCTCATTTATGTTATAGAAATACATAAATTTTTACTGTTTGTTCCTTTGGTTTAGGATTTAGAATGTAATAATTTCATGTTTTTTAATTCTCTCTTAAGTTCTTTTTCCTATTTTTTCCTTTGCAATTTATTGAAGACAAAAGATTTTCCTATAGACTTCCCACTGTTTGAATCCTTTTTTATTTTTATTTTTATTTTTTTAGTTAGTCATAAGCTGAGAGTACTAGGGAAAAGATATGGGCTAGAGGCTGTCTTTATCTGCAGAAGACATGATTGTCTTTGTGAAAAATCAGATGGAATCTAAGAAAAGCTCCTAAAACTGATAAATAAGTTTAGCAAAGTTGCAGGGTACAAGACCAAAATGCAAAAAATGAGGTGTATTTCTATATACTAGCAACGAACAGAAATTTAAATTAAAAATACAATACTATTTACAATGGCATCAAAATATGTGAAATACTTAAGAGAGAAATCTGACAAAAGAGAGGAGAACAAGTAGAAACTAGAAAAACAAGAAAGGAAAAAAAAATGGTGAGCAGTTTAGAAGCTGATATGAGGTTTGTAATAATAAAATTTAAAATAAACCCAATTAGCCTGATTGTATTTTTTCCAGCATTGTTTAGCAACCTGTGTATATGCATACAGAAAGCATCTGGTTGACATCTCTATGGGCTGGAATTTTCTGAGAGCTTGAAGGTACTGATGGATACTACAAAGACAATGGTTTATGCCTGACGCAGCCTAAAGATATCTGTGTAAGGCAGCTATGTAAAATTTAAGTTTATTCAACATCCTCCATCTATACTTGTCTAGCTATATTCTGTTACTTACCTCTTCCATGGAATTGAACTGCTGAATAGTTTTCAGTTCCCAATTAGCTACTCATTTTTCAATTTAATACATATTAGTCTTCAAAGTATTTTTGAAGACCTTATAAACAGTTTCTGCTTTCATAAGAGTTCCCATTACTCTTCCAGATTCTATTCTGTATGATATCAAAAATTGTCATAATATAAAGGAAAATATATCTTTGAAATGTTTTAAATAAAATATCATCCACACTGCTAATAGGAAGGCAGGCAAGAAAAATTACTGTTAATCTTTGTAGAATGTAAAAAGACCCTCCTTTTCCAGAAACAAATGAAAACAAAACCAAAGCGATTATTTAGTGACAGGATCTTTTTTCAAAGTAATTATTGATATTAACAGTAGAATATACATGATGGTATATAATAATCTCAATTATTTCCATTTTAATTAGAACTTTCTTTATTGTTTTCTCTGTCTCTGTCTCTCTGTCTCTCTCTCTCTGTCTTTTTTTTCCCCAAGCAATGGGCCACTTTTGCTCGGGTTTGGTATCTCTTAGATGGGAAAATGCAGCCCCCTGGCAAACTGGCTGCTTTGGCATCAATCAGACTTCAAGGATTGCATAAACCTGTATACCATCAACTGAGTGAGTATCATTTTATATCTGTCACGAGTATCCATAATTTCCATGCCAGAATAGAATGTTGAAAAGTCTGACTGAACTACTTCTAAGTACCTCTTTTTTTCTTGGGATCCCTTGTTCCATTCTTACAAAAAACCTACTAGGGCACTGAAATGAATTTGGTTTATTCACAGGAAAACCATACAGACCAGTTTGCCTGAGATAACCCCATTTTATGTCATTACCCCAGCAAAATTCTCAGTAGCCTTCCTTTCACTCTCAGATATCCTGAGTGGGACTAGAAATCAAATGTTCACTCTTACACGTGTGTCTTCACATGGCAATGAACATTTGAATAGGGAGTTTTTGATAATGAAAAAATAAGTCTGTCTTGTCTTCTAAAAACCTTTTCCCTAGAAAGATGGATAGAGCTAGCGGAACATGGAAAGTTTACTTTTTACTGTTTTGAATTGATAGATTTGATTTTCTGTAACCTTTTTCCAAAACAGAGGAAAAAAGTTGTTTTGAGACTTAAGGTCTTCAGCTTATTGTAGGTAATTCTGATTGACTTCACTTACCTAGGCACTTCAGTGCACACCCAACAAGATCTAGGTGTCAATTCTTACTCTTTGTCTTGACCTGTCAGCAACATTTTGTGCAGCTGATCATAGTGTTAACTTTTTGATACATGAAATACACAAAGATATATACAGTATGTAGATACAGTATGTAGACAAATCTATTTTTAAATATAAGTAATATTTTAAAGAAAATTAACAGTTACAATGATGATGAAATAAATACCCATACACTCAACATTTGCGTTATTTCCAATTTTTTTGCCATTACAAACAATCCCTGTTGGTATTCTTATACCTTTTTTCCAGGGTGCAGGTGGAAGAGTTTCTCCCAGATCTGTCTATAGGACAGGAATTACTGGGTTCAAAGGTGCATGGGAAACTAGGTAGTCTTTATGCTAATGTCCTCTCCTACCAGAGTTTTTATTAGCCATCATCTTCGATAACAGTTGATGTTTTCATTCTTTTTAAGTTTGACTACTCTCATAAATGTGGAATGCATTCTCGTGGTGGTTTTAATTTTCATTTTCCTCATTCCAAATGGAATTAAGTATCTCTTCACTATTTAATGGCCTTTTATCATTTCTTCTTCTGTGAAATATCTGTGCGTGTCTTTTGCCATATTTCCACTGAGTTATTTGTCCTGTACGTTTTTCTAATTTTTATGTATAATTTAACATGTAATTTTTTACTCAGTCATTTGAAAATAAGTTGCAGATGTCTCAATAAATCCCCCTGAATTTAGCATGTGTCTCCTAGAATAAGTATATTCCCCTATGTAACCAAAATGCCATTATCATACGTAACAAAA